TTTAAGGGAGCATAGTCCTTTATGGCTCCGCCGGCTCGCGGTCTTATGTCTTCCTAACAACGATTTACTGGACTTTCTGGAAAGAAGTTCCCCGAAATACGCTAGCAAATCTTTAACCATCGCGGCATCGGTTAAAGTGTATACCGCGAAGGCAACATGGCGGCCGAATTCACGGCTAGTTTTACTCATAGCTCCGCCAAGGAAAGTTAGAATTTTCAAGTTTTAATTTATGCTCCAATTGGGATTTAGAACATCCAATCCATGTGTTTGTAAAATCAGAATTGATTTATAAGATAACTTTCTTCTGTGGAAAACGAACTAATCTTATCTTGACTACATAAATCGTTATTACTAATTTCGATAATCATCACGGAGCTGTGTGTTTCCATGCAAATGTACGTTTTTGTACGCATAATTACAAATTAAACGAAATCAAATAATTTCTCATTATATGCCATTAATTTTGTTTAATGCGTGCATCTGTTCGTATCACTGTGTACATTTACCGCAAACGCATAAAATTCGCAGACTATTTCTGGTTATGAAATTTACCCGAAACGTTACGTGGAATCTAATGGAAACATATAAGTTTCTTTAACCGGTAACAGGAATTAAATTATTCTTTAGAACTTTAGATAACGATATCCCAGAAGTGAAAGCATGCGCACAAAGTTAACGTTTCATTTCGCATTTCCATTGAATTAGCGCACAAAGTAGTTTATCGTGCATTTCCCACGAGTAAGTATTTTATATTCTCAATGTTAAGTAATGACACGGTAAGCCGCCGGCATTCTATGATACTTTCCAGACAGAATGGCTATTCACTTTTCGAGCAATAATTAAAATTTAAAATTAAACCCTTTGTACCGCACAGTGACACACATCGCGGTGAAATGCAAGCAAGAGCGAATAAAAATTGAATTATATGAATTCATACCTACATTCTGAACGAAATGGTATTTTTTGCAAGTCATTAATGATTTATATGAAAATTCTCGTAAAACAGTAAAAATAAATCCATATTTTAGACGAATTTATCTCATTATTGCATATTTACATTTATTGATCTATACATTGCGAATAAGTATTGATATATTAATGAAAAATTAAATATTTGTAGAATAATTAAAAAATTATTTCATTTCGTTAAAGATTTTAATGATTCAACAGTAGAACATTTTTATTCGATTTTATGCAGTTATACATATTAGAAGTGCACACTTTAAACACTGCATCTCTTAAAATAGTTGGTACGACCGAGTGACAATTTAAAATATGAAACACTCTATAAAATATTTAAACAGCTTCGTTTTCAAGACGATTCAGGAACGTGGCCTCATTACTTTAATATATGAGATATGCACGACGTGTATTCCATCTGTTGTACAAGACTGCACGAAGAATAGAAAATTACATATTACGGCTGAAAAGCAATTTTCAAACTGCGGAGTGCAATAAAAAGCAGCTGACTTTACATTTCACGGATGTACAGAATTCATCTGTTGGAATAAATTTAACATCAATTAGATAAAGTTAATGACAAGATGATTAAGTAGGGTGCATCTGTATTAAAAAAGTGTGTGCAGGAAGTGTAATGATAGTCACTATATCAATATTTCCAACTGCACGTAACCTGAGTCACTCGACATACTATCACTGGAATAATTATTTCCTTCTTAATATGAGAAAAATATTTTTTTAATAGAACCCAGTGAATATTTTTTAGATTACCTTGAAATTTAAATATAGGAATGACTTTTCTTTTATTCATGCTTTCCGTTATTTTTTAATCGCATCAAAGTTTTTAATATTCCTCCTACACACAGCGAGTGACTGTTGAAAGTGAAAACGAATCTAAAAGCGCAATTGATTTACACTCCAATTCTATATTGCCATAGAGAATTATCCCTTAAACTTTGTCCCACCTGTTGCCGAGCACCCTGTATACACGAAACACCTAGAATTTATAAGAATTCTTGAACGAGATGATAAAGGTACAGATAAAAGCTTACCCTACATTTTTACTACGGACGTCTCTTTTTAATTAAAAAATATTCAATTATAAGGCAGAAATTTAAAAAGTTTCAAACAAAGAATTCTGTCTTGATATCTAACCACGTAAATTGAAGTTTCGCAGAAGATTCACGTTAAGTATAAAGTTATATTAGTTATGTCTGCAATACCATTTACTGCGTTGAATAACAATAGTATATTAATCACGATTACATTGCAACATAAAATTTTATAATCAAATTTTCAAAGAAAGCCTTCCATTCTTTAGCCGGTCAACAATGCGTTAAGTAGGTATTACGAATATTAAATTGAATTCTGATGAATGAACGGTTCAGTTGCAAAAATTACTTCCTCCTATAATTTCCTATTAATTTCCCGTTATACAACTTAACAAACGAATATTCTGTAGTTGATGTAGATGACTAATGATTGATCAATGATGATACATCTAACATAAAATTAAATTTATTGTCTGAAACGAATTATCTACGGTGAAACGTTTATATGAGTCATCCGTAACGTGTTTTCTCTTCATCGAGTCTCTTCGTATAAACGCACACCAGTTAACAGACGTTCGTATTAATGCTTCAACTGGCGCGGACAGGTACAACGATAAGTTTGTTTGTACGTCAAACTCCGAAAACTGAGATCAACGAAACAATTGCCACGTTAAGAGGGCAACCGAAATTATCGGAGTTATTTCAGCCGGAATGATGATCCCATAAAATGAAATTAATGTTTCACTATTTAATGATATCACGACGCGCCGTTCCATTAGGTATTTAATGAAAATTTCTAGTATTCCTGATTATCGCATTCTTGCAATGCTGCTGAAGATGAGGTAACGAGCGTCCACGACATGAGGAAACATAATGACGCGTAATGAAACGGCATTAATAAAAGGGCGCAATCTCTGCCTCGAAATTAATAAGAAGTAAACGAAAGAATTTGCAATAAAATTTCAGCGTGTTCCGCGTTCCGCGAACGTTGCAACACACAAAGGAAACCGGCATTCGTCTTGTGAATCCCCCCGTTATCGTCAACGTTCGCCGCTTTTTCCTTTAACGCCGCCAGCAAACGTCAAAGCATATAATACACCGATGAATTATCTCTTGCGCAAGAGGAAGCTATTCCGATGAATTTGCAACACCCTTGCACATGTTAATGATGAAGTAACAAAGAAACTTGTTGTGGCGATACGCGGAATATTTGCCGCCTTTCTCACGCTATCTGCCCTTAACTTGGAAAAACGTCAAGATTACACGTTCAAATTCCGAACAATGAGAACTACCGATAAGTCGAACCGAGGAATGGATAATTCATTCAACTAACGAGAATATTTCTGTAATTTTATACTTTTCATTTACTTTTATTGTCGTTCGCCGAAAGAATCGCGAAATACTCGAAAAGAAGTTACCTAAGCTAAACTGATTAAACGAAGATTCGTATTAGAATGATTATACAATTATCAGATTCAGTGGGCGCGTGAAATCTCCGCGGAGGGAAGGATTAAAAAGAATTAAGGAAGCGTAATTTAAATTCCGGCGTCATCGGTTTGAATTCATTTAGAATTCTGCGCCATTTTTCGGCGCGCAATCTTACACGAACCACCTGCCGCATATTTAAGGCGACATAAATTGTCGCTGAAAACGTAGCTTGTACGCGAGATAGGCGAGCGAGCTATGACTGCGTGTGCACCGTGCATGCACGCTCGCGCACCGTGCACGCCTCTGTTAAGAAAAATGAGTAAACACGCTCCATCGGGGGAGGTCATTGAAATATACTAAAGTTAACACGCGAGCGAAATTTAATTTACCCCGATGATCGACCTGTTACCGAGTAATCTGATTAAACGTGGAAGTAGCGCGCTTAGCGTGGTACAATTCTCGTGTCGCGTTAATTAGCTTCGACACGTTTCACCCTTGACGACAAGCACGTCATTTTTACACCTTTCTCATTTCTGCATGATACGATTTTTACGTTCGAACTACAATTCTCTCGAACACGTAGGAACTCGAAGTTGTCATTGCATTTCATGATTCGGCTTGTTACGTATCGTCGTTTGCTTATCTCGTGTCATTTAAGTACCATCGCTACTGTTGGAATAATACACTGTTGAATGCTTAAACGTATACTACACACGTGTTCCTTCCTTAAACGACAACTGGTTATACAACCATCGTCGATATTCTTGCGGAAATTTCGAAATTATGCGGAATGAATCGCACAGCTGTTATTAAGAACTGTATACTGATATTTGAGTTTGGAAAGAGATTTAAATAAAGTTGACTTATGTTAGCGATGGTTTAATTAATTTAGTCCCTTCAAAATTCGTGGATTGTTCACTCGGAGATAACATTGTTTGTTTACGTTGCATTCTATACATCGTTACGAGTAAGATATAATTACAAAAATATGTAAAATTTAAGGAAACATTTCAACAAATTCATACTGATAACGATATATTAACGTTATATAATTTTATTGTTATATAACAGTAAATACAAGGAGTAACTGTTATTTACAAATTCAGTTGCAACAGAAAAGGGAATAGAATGGATACAGAGGAGCACGCGGTGAGAATGAACCCTCGCAAGTCATCGGATTTGAGCGGTCGATTGATTTCGTCCCATCTGTAGCCCAATTGGAGCTGTCTTTCATTGGAAGTTTCATTTTGCTAGATTGTGTTTCATTTAGTTTTCGTGATCGAACGCGAACTGACACGGAATGGGAAGATAGGGGAGAGTATCGACGAGAACTATTTAGGCAGAAAGGAGATTCGTTCGGGGGTTAATTTCCGTCGTCGTCCGCGATGCGAAGTAGCTGGGACAGCTGTCTCGCAGTCGCTGATCAACAACGTAAATAAAACGTACATTAACCAGAACGAAACAAACCAACAAATAAAATTCTATTACGTTTAAAGTCACAGCTACGAAATATACTTACTCCACACTTATATATTATTTTCATATTTACACTTTACTTACAAACGATTATCCTTCTGTTATTGAAAAATATTATTTAGCAATTCACATATAGAAATTATTACTGTATTCGTCAACACGTTAGTCACTGGTGACTAATACTCTCTAATAGTTTAAAAGCAAATGCAAATGGACGACCGATATCGCACGAAAATAATCAACGTAATTTGCATATAGGATAAAACGGTATAACCTGTGAAATTCCCTATTCGATAATTTATAAATATTACAATTATCTAAATTCGCAATCTCCGGTGCGAGCAAAGTATTGAGTAACCGCGAAAAATCCGTGGAACAGTCGACGCGAGGAAAAACAGTTCTACGAGGTTTATTCGGAGATCTACATTTCCCGATTGCGCGTCTCTCTTCGAAGAATTTTCTGCCGGCAGTTTCTCGCATAGATCGCTTGTCAATCAAGAGAACCGCGTGACGGAAATAAGTCGCGAGAGGACAGCTCGCAAACCTAGTCTTACAAATTACTATTTCACCTCGAAGAAACGGGAAAAATGTTCCATAAGATATGAGTCTGGTCTGGCCGGTATTACACGTCACAGGAAAAGATGAGCCTGACATGATTGAGCTCCGCTTCTCTGGAATTTCTCACTTTGATCGCGAAACCACGAAAAGATTCCCGGCCGCCGCCATATCGGGGACGATCTGGCACTCGTAGGAACCTATCTGCGCACGGAATAAGACCCAGCTCCGGCGTACGATTTCGGAACGATAAGCTCCGCATATGAAAAAAACCAGGTTGAAACGTCGAGACCGATTTAACGCATCGCGTATTTGCTTACGCGGCAGAAACGATCGTAAGTTGCGACAAATCGAAGAAAATCAGGCTGATATGTATGGTCTACTCGTTGATACAGCACATTCAGCGTGGATCGAAATATTCCGCGACGAATGTTACACTGCTCCTTGTTAGTTTGTCGGTGAAAAGATACTTCTACGTCCTCGGTGATCTTTGTATTCTTTGTAAATTATGTATTTATGGTGTATAGAATTTTATTGGTGATTGTAATAAGATTCAGCAAAGTGATACAGTACGTCTCGTAATATTGTAAGAGTATGAAAATATTTTCACTGATTTCGTATGTTGACCTGTTTATCTGGACACTGATAAGCTCTAATCTACAATTGGGCTAAGATCTTTAATCTATTACATTCTCGTACGATAAGTGAATCTTTATAGAATTTCGTGGAGATTATTTATTGAACAACATTCGATAACATTTCGTCGTTTAATTCGATTGCTATCGCAACACTTGAAAATACACAGTAATTTATAGTATTATCTTATTTATAAAATACGAATGTGTATGTCAACCTGAATCCTATTATGGATTGATCGGAAAAAGTTTGTCATCTTTTTATTCCATTTCAACTTCTTTATTTCATTTTTACTTTAACCATTTTAATTGGAATTCAATGTACGATTCAACAAACAGAACAGTTGTTTACATGTTCGATATATTTACGAAACAGTGAATGCAGCAGTATTATGAAGGAATAAGGCGAAACTATGAAATTTGCGTAAAAACAGACTGAAGCATTGTGTTTGGATATTTTTGTATGAAAAGCAAACGTTTCAGAGTAAACATTCAGCACAGTGACTGTAGTAATTGACAAACAAACGATTTTATACCCCTCTTTTATTAAACGTTCTCTTTCAACACATACAGCCACCATTTAATTACTTTGTCACTCAAAACACAGAGTTTTATTTTCATTTTTGCATTACTGTCGATGTGCTAATATAATCTAGAAATTAATTTCTTCAATTAATTTAACCGTCTATCGTGCCAGAAAATATCCTTGACATATGCACACCAAGGCCTTCCGCGAAATTGATGCATATAGTTTAAATATAATAATATCTCGGTTATTCTGATTATTGTATCGTATCATACACATACACTATTCTACGCCGTTATTAATGCAACCGCTTATCTGACTACAATGAGATAATGAGAAACAGTTCATAGTACATAGAATATTATTCGCTAAACTGATGAAACATCCATTAACTTCTTAATAACTTGATACATTAAATACAAAATATCCTGCGCGATATTCGTGCGTATAAAATAATTCTTTTGAAACCGAAAAAGATCGGCTAATCTTTCTCAGACTCTAATTATCGATATTCAATTAACGAATCTCACACCTCAGAGATTTCACCCTCGAAAAGCTACCAAGAGCAAATTTGTTCGCGACAACGGCCGCCTCGAAACATATCGAAAAGCGAGGAAAAAGTACAAAAGACGGTGACGAGAAAAAAGTGGTCCCTTACCTTATCAAGATACTGAAATCCATGCTCCCACGCGACCCGCTGAGCGACCTCCGGTCCACCCTCGACGTGCACCGCCCACTGGTTCGTGTAAGCAGCGACCCGACCAGCCGGAGTCAGCAGCGCGAGCACCGCAAGTCCGAAAATCATCTGCGGGCACATGATAGTTCTTCTTTCCCTGTACCGGCACCACCACCGCCGGCTCCAGTTTCACACTCGGCACTGCTATCCCACCCACTACTATCCACCGAAACCGCGCCACTGCAAACCGACGTGGGGGGCGCGGCGACGAGGGACAGATAACAAGGAACAACGACACAAACAACGGCACAACGGGACACAACAGCCACCACCGGTGAACAACAACACGCGAGGATCGGGCGGTCGCGGGGGGTTGGTTGAATATACCGCGGAACCGTGCCGGCCGAAGGAAAAGAAACCGGTCGAGAGAGACAGGAGGGCCGGCAGAGAACACGCGAGGAGGTTCGCACCTGATGACCGACCGCCAACAACTGAACTAGCAGCCGCGTGTGTCACTGGTTAAATACTCCTCCGCACCGGCGATGCACGAGGAAGTCGCGTATACGGCGTTGCGTTTCCCGGCGAGGGCTCTCCTCTTTCCTCGTCCACGTCCGTCGGTGTCGTCGTCGGTGTCGTCGTCGGTCGTCGTCGTGGTCGCCGCCGTCTTCGTACGCGTCGCTCCCTCTTCGGCGACGTCGCTGCTGCCACTGTCGCCGCCTTCACTCAACGACGAACAGCGGTAGGTAGGGCAATCGTCAAGTCATGTGGCCGTTATTGGTGGGGAAGCCAACGCGATCTTCGTAACACCGATAATCACGGACTTGTTCGGTGCACGTGGCTAACCTGGATCAAGGGCGGTGGCGTTCGAAACCAACGTCCCCTGTCTCACGATCCTACCTTCATCCGAGGATCCCTTGGCCTAGGACAGAGTCTTGGACAGTGACTTTCTTGGTACTCTTAGGGAAACCGTTAGGATATGGTCTTCCGACGAGGAAGGTGTCTTCGATGGATCTTCTTTCGGTAGCTTCCTTTGTTTCGCTGTCCCTTTAGCTGGTCTGATTACTTTAGCGACTCTGTTATCTTGCCAGGGAGATCCCGACGCAGCCAGAGATAATGGGAGTTGATGATACTCGGCCGGGTGGGGAGAGTCCACAGAAATGACGGAACGATCAAGATTAGCCGTGACGATCGGCAACAAGCTGCTGAAACGGACCAACTGCTCTGCAGCCGGATGAGCTTAGCGCCCGTTCCGAACGGGAAATACGGTTATCCGTGGGTCATCCGGAACCGTGAGAAGACTGTCCCGGGACGGGAATCGAGTGCTTGACCTGCCATTCAATCCGTGTACGAGCACGGACTTGTCGACCAATGACCAATCGATTCGCGTAGACTTTGTGCGTTCTCCGTCGATGCGCGGATAGGAAGATTCGCTCTGCCGCGCGTCCCCGTGGTCTTTTATTTGCTCGTAATTTTCTCTGTTTTATCCCGTCGACGCCAACGTCAGATCGCCCTCTTCACTGGTGTCCAATCTAGAAACTGGAAAACATTTCAAGAATTTTAGGTCGCGCATTTTTAACTTCGCTTTCTTTTTTGGCTCGATGTGGGTACTTGGACGAAAAGGATTGAAATTTTTTAATCGTTGTCATCGTTCTTGACCGCATCTCATGCGTACAGATCTGTTTTTATTTGAATTTATTTTAAGGTGGTCACGTTACTTATTACTTAATAATACTTAATCGAAAAGAATAGTTAGCGGAATAGGTAGAATCTATTGTATACGGTGTATTTGAAAATTTGTGCATTTGTATGCATAGAGGCAAGTGCCATTGTACTTCAGTAAAATAAATTACAAACTAGATAATTTAAAGTCAGGTTTGGTCAGTTTAAAAGAAATATGTATTATTGAAGCCTTAACCGTGGAAATTTTGATCGTGTACTCAAAAGTTCGCATTAAATGTATTTTATGTCAGTACGTCACTCGTCTATTCGCAGAAAATCGAGTGGCGAAGAAGTGTCGCGTTTGTGGTGTTCGACGTGCCCCGAAAAAAGAGAATTGCATACATAACTTTGTTAGACAGCCGCGTTTCATATGTGATTTATCAGATAGGAAACCGCGAAAACGGATTTATATAGATGAAAAAGGCCGTTGCTCGGTGCAAATTTCATTGGTTTCGGAGTTTCATGTTTTCAGTAGCTGCGTTCACTCAACTTGTATCATCTTCACGGTTGAAGGGTGCTCGAACGGGTTGGATTTTGAAATGAAAGAAACAGGATCGATACGCGTTCGAATAGTTGCAGGGTGTACTGGGAAAATCGCATTCAATATGTAACGCGACCTGATTTTCATCGTATGTCTGATTTACGACGGCTATCTATTTTTTTCTTGTTTACCCGATGCCCGTGGTGAGTAAATGATGAATTATATATGTTAGAAGCGTAGATCGTTCCCTGCATAACAATGTTTACTTGTCTTAACCGAGGACCAGCCTACGGATGTTTATGCATATCTATGGTTGCACAAGCCAGTTTATATATAATTTCGCGAAGGATATTTTGGTACATCAGTACTGTGCTGGACATAGAATTTGTCTATGATATTCTTTAATAAAGCATTAAATAAGTAATGAATCGTGCACTGTTCAAATCGCTATGTCATTTGTATCTTAAATGCATAATAATTAAAGTTTTATAAAAGTTTTTAAACGATTCACGAAGTTACACAAAAATGGACATATACTAAATTGGGAATCGTTATTAATGGACTGTGAATTATTAAAGACTTAATATTATTGTAAGTATTTAGTCCTGAACAGCATTACACACAGGAAGAACGATTAGATAATGTACTTCAACAATTTTCTCAGACGTTTCAAAGTATAATTACAGCTCCTGGGCAACCATGATGGAAAATCAACACCGGAAGATGAGAAAAGTATTGAATGCAAAATTCTTAGAAGTATGATTTGCTGAAGATGTTTGAATTCTACCGTTATAATTCATGGCCACGCAGATATCTAGAGGGTTACATAACCAGAGAAAATCTTCAACTCGAGAAAGGAATGTCTGACAATTTTATGTGAAGATGTTCCACGATACCAAGCAATTATAAACCAAGCAACTCAACATTTCTTAATAAAATAAAATAATTATCGTAAGAATAAATGAAACGCATAAACGCTGAAAAATTGAAGTCATTGGACAAACTAAACATTACTGTAGATAAATGTGAGTCAGGACAATTCACCGTTTTATTCGTAGCTAATTTTTTTTCAAACGTCTGCCATTTCGATAACGTTTTTGATATTGAAAAGGACGTTCCTTGCAACTCTATGGATTCAACGAACAGAATAGAAATGATTGTCGGTTCTTATTATCGATGCATTTTAAAGGTCGTCTGGTTTCGCGAAAAAGGATTCCATTTTCAAGCTGCGGTTTGCACGGTTACAATTCGATAGAAAGTTTACACTGCGATCGGACGGAATTGCGCTAGCAATATTTATCCGTTCCGACCAGTTTTAACTATGCGCTTGCAACATGGAAATGCGATGCAAATGATATAAAACTGTTATTTGAAAGTAACTGCGCAGTTGAGTATCTATCGGATCAACGCGTAAACAACAATATTATGAATAATTGTTCAACAACCTCGCGATTGAATTGTTATCCACAAAAGTTTGTTATTCATCCACCGATCAGTGTATTTGTAGTGGATGCTAAATTGAGATCTACTTTTGTTCGAGAACTCGAGTGGAACATCACGTGTATGTGTGTGTGCGCGCCACTGACCACAAAAAGATTCAAGTGAATAATGAGCATGACTTCCAAAGCTGCATACTTAATTCTAAGCTCACTCGATCCTTCACAGAATCCCGCTAAAACGAAGAATAACAACGTTCGGACGATCTAGATCCGGCTAAACAGAACATTACCGTAAATTTTCGAAACTTCGAAGCACATGTAAAACGACGTACAATAAAAATGGGGCAGGACGTTGTTCTACCGTACGTTACTGCTGTTCAACGCAAAATTGTACGAAGAGATATTTGAAACTAGTGTACAATTCGATAAGAATAATGAGTATTCTGCGACGACTAAACAATAGATGTTTGATCAAATGAAAATTTCAGTAATCAAATTTATTATTTAAGAATGTTCAATGTTGAAATCCACGAGTATTTAGTAAAAAAAGAGAATTATTAATTTCTCTAAGTTATTAATTATTGTATAGGTACAATAACACTAATTCTTATAGCTAACATTTATAACATTTCTTTTATGCATCTTTTACTTTTTAAAAGTGGATTTCGGAAAGCTAAACAATTTTAGAATAATTGTAAAATATCTATAGTTGATACTCGAAGCTTTGTTATCTATTGTTAAAAAAGTATTGCGACTGAACATTCTTGTGCGTTGCTGCAAACAATATTCTTAAGTAAACAGGAAGAGATGATTTCCTTGCGTATATGATCTGAATGATGTTCATTATTATTTATGACACAGTCGGGATGAAAAGCTGAAAATTCGCATTATCGTCACGTTCACGAGACGTTCCGAGCGATTCAACTTCCGGACAAAGGATATTGGCGGCCCTGCAGACACACAACGGCGCTCTATTTTATATCCGAAACAAGTTGCATACCCCATTTCCGTCCTATCCGAGTTTCGCTAATTTATTTTCTAAATGAAAATGTAACATTTACGTTCGCCGTGATATCGATCGCGAGTATATACCCACTTATACGGCTTCAACGTGAGGAACATCTTGAAACACAAAGATGATTAAAATGCACGCAACGATATCGAAGTTTATTCTCACAATTGTCTGTGAAATGATAGTACCTGTGTCTAAGATTAACTTCATAAACGTGGAACAGATGTTTCGAATTTAAAGTATCTATTCTGAAATGAACCATCGTAACAGAACAATATACAGAAATTCGCATGCTACGAAACTGAATTTTGAAAGCACATTTTAAAACAGATAGATTCAAACTCTACTGTAAGAGGAAAAATATATTTTCCACAATTTCAATCTGCATAGTTCTAAACGAAATAGCGTTTTGTAAGAGATTTTAATAAATATTTAAAATAAACTATGTTGAAATATATTACGTTGTTCTAAATAAGTGGAACACTGAAAATCCATTACAGGATGAACGACGTGAATACGAATAATTTATCAAGGATTCTACGATTAAACTGCTCGAAATATATGACGCTGTAATCAGTATTCGAAAGCATGCGTAAACATCGAAAACCTCGTTAACATAAAATTGATATCGATCGAGTTTTCAGTGGAACATACAATTATCGTGTCAGTAATTACCAATTATTAATAGCCATAAACACATTGAAAAAAACAAAATCGAAATGTGAAACTAAATTACCGTCATATACGAACGTATGAAGCTCGAAAAGTAATTCCCAAACTTTAATATCCATATTAAAATAATGTCGTTACATTTAGTAAACACAAGTCCAAGCCTGATAACTTATTGAACGCCTTCGTGGGGGACGAAAGTAACAAACTTGCAACATTCGAATAAGATCAGGTCACTAATTTCTTGTTTCATTTGAGTTTATTTTAAAGGTGGTCACATTAACAGTAAAGTTATTAGCAGGTCACTAACGATTAATCCTTCCAGCTTCGACATTCAAAATCGAAAGTAACCAACGAGCAACTTAATTATTGAAATAACAAGAACCTGATACGTGGTTTTCATCTTTCCTAATATCCAAGACTTTGACGCATAATTAAATCTCACGATCGGAAGTTAGAACTTCCCGGAGATTCTAGAGTTTTCCGAAGCGAACAAAATTCTTCTTCCGAAAGGTTCGAACATTATTTCCTGCCAAGACCGAAGAAACCGATTCCAGCGAAATCAGAGGGAAAAACTGCCGATTATCAGTTTCGAGTGGACACCCCGACCCGCTTCCAGGCGGAGAAAAATCTCTCCCCGTTTCTCGGGGTAACTTCGAGGGAAACTTAAATGAAAATCTTCGCGGCGCGCCCCTCGTAATCGCTAATCCTGGCTCCGCTCGGCGGACGAATTATGAAAATTACCACGCAATAAGCTCGACCGGCAAAATATCCCGACATTGTCACGAGACTCAAAGGACCGGGGGCGGCTCGGGGGTCGGAGCAGATTTCCGGAAAAAGGAGTTCCGCGATGCATCGGCTGACCTACGCCGGACCATTGCAGTCCACTGGAACATCTACTTCGTGCCCCGAGGAAATTGCATTCTGCGGTCTTCCTCCTCCACTTCCGTGCTCGGTGCTCGAGTGATAAAGAGAGAATAAGAGAGGGTGGCGGCGTTGGCGACCGATGGTGGCAGCGGTCGGTGGGAGGGGGACGGGAGAAGCGAAGAGGAGCAGCGTTAGAGAAGTGAATTAAATTTAAGCCGACTGGCCTCCTCTCTCCGATAGCCTCTCGCTTTATCCACCGGTCCCTTCCATCGGCTGGTCTTTCTCTGGCACGCACAGGAGCAGCACGGCGAGCGGCACAGAGGCGGTGCGCGGCGCAGGCGACCGGAATACTTTTTCCCCAATTCCAGAGACAAAAGGAAGCGAAAAGCCCTTTTCCCGTTCACGAAGGAAGCCACTCGACGGATTGATCATCGCCTTGGCAACAGATATGAAATCCAGACGCACGCGTGTGCGCGCAACCGGCCCCAAATGAAAACGAATGAGCCTATATACCCTCTCTTGGCCAGGTAATAACCGCCCCGACCTTTACCCCCGCTCGACGATCCTACCTGCCCGGCCGGTACGTGACCGAGTTCCCTCGGAAAGGGAACGAATTTTTACGCACGGCTCTCTCCGCCTGGCTTATCCCGGCCCGGCCCGGCGCAACGGAAGAATGCCGGTCAGCACAGCTGCGAACCTCCTCGCGCAAAAATTGTCTACGATAGGCAGTTTACTTTGAACTCGAGCGAGACGAATGACGGACCGACCTGCAGGGTCGAACCTGGACCGTGGAAAATTTCGCTTCCGATGGATGGATGGACGACTGAATGCCTGTCGCTGCGCTCGCCGCGAGTAAGGAGGAAGAGGACCGCAATTAGGATCCGATCCTTTGCGGAGAAGGGAATGGGGTCTAGGTATGTATTACTTTGAACGTTTGGAACAACGTTTTCTATACTGTTGCCGGAGATGGACAGTATTCTCTTCTCGGAGTGGAAGGAATATGAAAATTGTAAGTCGAATAAGAAAATAGTTGAAGATGTATAGATGGAAAGAATAATTTGCTGCATGCGATAAATAGTGCAGGTAAAATACTCATGAATTATGTAACTGAGTCTGATTCATCTATTACACATACTAATAATATATATTTTAAATTCTTATCAATGTAATTCAATGTGATCACTATTTTAGTAGAATAAACGTAGGATAACGATAAGAATTGTTTTTAAAGTGCACAGTTTTATTTTGGTAATTTTAATACAAATGACTATTAATGCCCTTAACTTTGCTAATTATAGGTAGGTAAGTATATACGTTTATGTGACCGTTACTAATTAGGTTTGATAAATGGATGACCTACGAAGGAATTCAAATTCTTCTCCCGATAACGAGCCGTTGAATTAGTCTCACAGTGGAAAGAAAAATGAAATAGAATGCCTCCTACTGAGAAACCATGACATTTTTTTCTAAACTCAAACCTAAAGCAGACCGTTTTCACACCATATGAAAACCATTTAAATTAAAAGTATCAGTGCCCATAAACCGTTAACATCGTACTTAACATAATACTTCATCTACCATAGATCCATTAACAAATTCCCCAAAACCTGTGCTACATCGAAAGGAAGCTTAATAATTCTCCCTGAACTAATAATTCAAGACCTTATTCCATAATACCGTTTAAAAGGATTTCTTTCACAATTGTCATCGCTACAATTATTAAAAACCGGATTAAAAAATCTTGGTTGACACTCTCAATCATCGATTCCGAAACAACCGAACAATCGCCAACAGGAAAAGCGTCGAAACATTGCGCAAACAATTACCCACAATCTAAAAAGTTTCTTCTGTTCAATTAGCCTCGCGAGCCGCGTGCAAACACCGTCAAAGCGCCGCATAAACACGGCGAAATAATTAACATTTATTCGCGGTGCGTCGAAGTTCAAACGAAACGATTAAAGATACAATACTACGAGCGGTCGGGGAGGGGAAGAGAAGCGAAACACCTTGAGCGTTCCCGCGCGTTTCGAAGTTTCTCCAGAATGCCTCGTGTTACGCAATTGATCATTACCGCGGACAAAAGGAATGTCGACGAACCGAGAGCCATGCAAAGGCCTTTCTCGTAACAGGAAACACTCGGGGTCACGGACTACCGTGAAGTTCACGCGAGTATGTGTGTATACGGTGTGCCGCGGGGCGGGATATTCACGCAGAAAACCGGCTCGCGTATGAACCGAAGCGACGCGACGCGACGCGACGCGACGCGACGCTTTCGGTTCTCGGCTGTGGCCGCACTGAAAAATTCCATCGGATTCCGCGCGTTCATTGACAATCGACAGTTTTCTGGAAAAGTTTCGACCAAACGGGGGAACACGCGGGGACAAGGCTCGTTGCGGAATTCCGCGGCTCGGGGATTATCGAGTCACACGAGGATCGAAAAAAGAAGAAATACTCATCGGCCGGCGGGTAACGTGCCGAATATTCCTTTACGAGTCAAATATGGCCGCGTTGACAGGCTCGATTTCGATAAGAAACACCGTCGAACGGGAACATCGGAATGCTCATCTTCGCGGAATTGGCGAGAAACGCCACCGGTTTTGTCCTTTCGCCGGGGCGGAAAGGAGGAAAAAGAGGAAAAAGGAAAATATAAACAATCCCGTCGCCGCGTTTCACGATCGAGAGCGATCGCATGACCGTTTCGCGATGGTGCTCCGTTCGAACACTTTAAACGTTCGATCGGACAATACACGGCAAGAATTTAAACGAGACACTAGGATTTGTTTTTATAGTTTTCTGAAATTATTCCATTTATTCGTTAGTCGCTAGAATTAATTAGGTTGCATGGTAAAATTAATTTATTACCGGAAGGGGTACAAAATTAATTTCTGTGGTCAACAATTATAAATGTCAACGTCTCCGTAATCCCATGGCTCGTCGAATATTCGTCAAATGGTATTTTTTACTAAAAAATTGTATACCGCATAAAGGCGATACACGATTTTAGAACTACCATGACACGAAACGCTTCAATTTAAATTTCTCCTGTAAAATTACAAAAAACAAAAACTACGCATGCTTTCCCAAAAAATGACTAAACAAATGAATGCCATAACTCGCATTCCCAAACCAAAGGCAGGATAATCTCCATAAACATCGTTGTAATTCGTGCGAACGAATATACACCAGCGCATTCGACTGATCGATAGTCCTAGCATCGAAAAGCCTTGGATTTCAATCGTTACCCGATACATCGACCTACTCTATAGCAACCGCAACGTACTCCGATTCAAATTTCGCGGTCCACGAAAACGGAGAAGAACTGGTATAGGTTGGAGAGGAGGCACGTGGGCAGAACACGCTGACCGCGTCGCTGAACGCTGACGAGCGGTGTTCGCACCGCGCGAGAAACTGTCAAGACGCGTCCCCGTGTGTCGTCGAAAGACGACAGAGAGCAACGGCGACGGGAAGGAGAACCGCGGCCGGCAACGGCGGGGCGCGGGCAAGAGAGAAAGAGATTCGCGCGTGGCCGGCACCGTTGAAAACAGGCTCTCTCGCGAGGCCATGTCGGTGTGTAACGGGTTCCCCGTGGGGACGGGACGCCGTATCTCGGCTACGGAGAGAGCCAGACGCGACGGCGGTCTTGACAGTTCCCCGGAATCGATGATAACAAAGCGCACGGTCGACGGGTACAAGTACACGCGCACGGCGTGCCAAGCCGCTCGTTACAAACGCTTATTAATAGAATATTCCACTCACTGAATGTGCGTGCACCGGGGGTTCGCCGTAAGGTTCGGGATTCCCTCGAACGCCGAACGGGTCCGGTGGTATCCGTCAGTCCGTCCGTCCACGCGCTTGCGATAATCCCAAAAAGGTCGAGAGCGAAGACAGCGGGAGAAAGAGAGAGGGAGAAAGTGAACCGTCGATACACAACGCTCGCGGGGCACGGTGAAAGAGATACACTCTCTCAATCGGTGGCCGAGGAATGCGGAAGATGGAGAAACGGGGATAGCACCGCACAGTTGCACAGCCTGGGAAACACGCCTCTTGTGCCGCCAAACCTCTCCGTGGCCGCCGTCCGGGCTGTTTAGGTCGGTCCACGGCACGCGACAACCGAAATCACCGGAATCCGTGACACGTTACGCGTGCGTCTCGGCGGGGCAGCCGCGTGCAGTCTTTTCTGTATCGTGTCACCGTCGTCGCGCGAATGTCGGATCGTGCGACGTCCTGCCTCGTTGCGATCTCATCCCTACGACGTAGCACGGCTGACTGAGGGCTCGGTCCGCCTTGCCGTCGGTTTACGCCGCTCCGATCTTCCCCCACCGCCGCTCGATCAGCCGTCTCCCCTCCTCGCCATCCGACTCCCCGCGCCGTTCCCCACCACTTCAACCAGCTTCTCCCGCTGTGGCGAACTCGCAGCCCCGCGCGTCCCACGCCACCCGCAGCGACGTTCAGTCACTCGGCAACCGCCTGGCCGTGTACTTCTCTTTCTCTTTCGTGTTGCGCGGCTATCCTGCGGGACCAAGAGAGAGAGGGATAGGGAAACGGCCTGGAACAGCGTGAAAGGTTGAGGACGCTACCAGTGTCGTCGAAACCGCAATGTTACGGGTGCACCCCGTTACACATGAGACGCGTGGTCTTAATTCTTTAAAGATGACCTATTCCCTTTGCTTGCCTACACCTTTATCCGCCTTTTCCCTCCCTTTTTTCTTTCGCTCGACATCTTGAAACTGTTGGATTTGTCGCGGGGGTTTCTTTGGAGCTAGTTAAGGAATATTGTACATATTTTTGTACTCCTATTTGTGGGGTATATATCAGTTTTAACTTGACGGGGATTAGTCTTCGAGACTGAATGTATCGTCATTTGTCAATGCTGTTGTTAATGCACACCCGGTGGATGGAGCGAATAAAATGTTAGAGGAAAAAATTACGCTATAGTTTTGAATAGTCTTTTCGACCGAATTAATCCATTATATGTTTCGTGGGCAAAATCCGTTGTGTATATTAAGATGCTGTAGTACCGAACGTGTCTGACACGCTACGCTGCGCGAATGGGTTAAGTTTCGTTACTAACGTATAATATACATTTTACCTAAGGATTCGATGCTTTGACATTTTTAACACCGACGATTTATAAATCTAAGAAATTTTTTATTTATCTGATAATAAAATATTAGCTTCCGATATGTTAATAACCAACAGATCGTATCTCATTCATAATCTATGTTTTAAACCCTCCGTCGATCATCCTGTAGTCAGCTGTGCTCTCATTTCGTGTTTCCAAAAATTTACTTCGTGTCTACGTTTTATTCGTCTCTCTATTACATCGTCGAAAATCATTAAATCAAAACCTCTAACCTAAAATATTTCTACCATCCGGATACACTGTAAAATCCCACATTCGAAGGGGGAAGTTTGCAAAGAAGACCGAAACGAAAGGAAGCCGTGAATCGTCGGGACACCTGTTCGTATTTACCTATGAGAACTTTCTCTCCGTTTGATCGGACATGGGCCCGACAAGGTCCTTGATCGTCCCTGGGGGTTCCACCAGGAATTCGTCCCTGTTCAACCCGCCGCCGCGGTCTTCTTCCTCCCTCTTGCCCGTTCTCCTAGGCTGCATGCACGTACCGATACGTCCGCCTCGGTGTTTTCCGCTGCGGGAGTGCGAGAGACGGTGCTCCGTCAACCAGGTTCTCTCTACCCGGCTCTTTCCCTCCCTCGGTGTTCATTCTTCAAGTCCCCGGACCGCGCGAGGACGGAACAAAGAGAGAGGGAGAGAGAGAGAGAGAGCAAAAGGCTACACGGAATACGCTGGCCACGCATTCCGATGCGAAGGGGATCGGGTGTGCGGCTGTGTAAGATGCCGGCACGTACACCTTTGATTCTTTTCCCACACCTTATCTAATCCACCTGCCCGGCTCGTATCAACCCGCCGCGAAACTCGTCGATTTCGCCGGCATATCAAGGTCTGGGATAGGTCGGAGGATCGAGCGGCTTGGTCGCTTATCAACAATGTTCCTGTGACACGGCTCGCGGGATGCATGCTAAACAAGCGCACCGATAACGAGCAAGGATACGGGTCGAAGGTGGAGTATATCCGGATTTCTGCGACCCGACGTCTGGTTATTTGTATTGCCCGACCTATCTCGTCGACGGAGTCCTCTCTCCAGACGGAGAGGAGATAGCCGACAGAAACAGAGCATCCGTGGAAATGTTTAACGAAACGCGGATAATAGAGAGGCGATCGGAATCCCGGTGATTTCGGCCTGGGTAAAAATGAGCGACGACGCACGGGAAGATTGAGGCCCCCGAGACCACGGACGGATGCGTTTATCGAGCATTGGTAGATTTGTTTTCGAGCTGGTACCCGGGGTACCGACACAGGGAGTAGAAAACAGAGCGAGTTTTTTAGATTTCGTATCAGTTGAGAGAAGTTTATTGATAATTAAACGGTATTTGTAGTAGAAGTAGTGAGTTAAGCTAAATGGATCAAAATAACATATTTTCGATTTTTTATTTATAATTATTGTAAAAGTGCATAGACTTTTCTAAGAAATTATTAAAGAAGTTGATTCAGTAATACGCAAGCTGAAATACAATTTAACTGAAATCTTAATAAATGTCCCTGTTATAGTTTCTATGAAAGAATTCAACAAGGTCAATTTAATTGCTCGGCAATTGCAGTGTTAAAAAAGACAGACAATCGACTTGCTCGAACAATAGCTTGTATTTTTAATTTGCTTAATGCAATGGCGAAACTGCAAATAAGAAATTCAAATTTCCCAATCAGATGACTAATACAATTAGCTAACAATAGTGCTCTATCCGATATCTGTTTCTCATTCGCGCGATTCCAATTTACGATTGAACTCGGTATATTAACTTATATCCCGCTGAATCGGTTTTTAAACGATATCAGTATCGATCGAGCACGATAATCGGAAGTTACACATTCGGAACATAAAGTGAAATACGATCCAGTCGGATCATTTTTCCCGATCTATAGCACAGCAACTTTCGCAGCCGGATAGCCACATACATATATCTAATTTTAAAACTTTATCGGTTCCAGGGAAAATGTACGTACAACATTTAACCTCTAGCCTTTCTAATATCAAATTCGATTCGCAGTGAAGATTTCTCATTCAATTCAATCAATTCTGCAGAATTTATGAATTCTAAAGGAATCATATGGCCAGTCCAATCGACAACGACAAATAATAAAACATCCCAAAATACATTCCTACTATAAATGCTACATAAAAACATACAGAACGTCCCATTTTAATCTGCAAATGCAATTATCTCCGGAACTATTCCTTATCGCATGCAATTTTTCCTCTTTTGAGGGGGCAACAATTTAGTACACTTACTTTGGCTTCAGGCGAACGTGTGTAAGAGACATGAAAGTTACTACTATTTCACCGAGAATAATCGTATAAAAAAAGGTGAACTCAACGAAACAGAAATAAGTGGCATTCGAGACATTCTTCAAGTAACGAATAATTCTGAAACTAACAACATTTATAGATTGAAACGGGACAGTCCGCATAAAAAAGAAAGGTTCCATATGTCCACTAAAGTGTTCATAAGAAAAGAAATATTTCAAAGACCGCGCTTCGAAAGTCGCTCGACCTGAAAGTGGATCAAACGTCGTCGTTTCATGTTTATAGAATTTTCATGCCGATACAGTTGACGTGTATTTGCATAATTTAGACACAGCGCTGCCCGTGACGAAAAGACGAACGAAGTTTCCTCTTCATGACAGGCCGCATTAGGGAACGCTGCCTCTTAACTTTCCCAATTTCCTTAAAACTCCATGTAATGAAGCGTCTCTATTAGCATCGACCGTGCCTCACTTTAAACAGGCATCGTGCGCAGCATATATCCAACGAGACAACATAATGCTGGCCGGCTATTCGCCGTGGAACAGGAAGAGCAGTTCCCCTTTCCTGTTTTCAGCCACCGATCTTCTCCTGCTCATTGCGCCTGGTGAATCCTCAAAGTATCGTTGCCAGATAGCCGTTACCTGAAAAGCGACCCGAACTCCGAAACCTCGGCCCACCTTAAATCTTGCTCCTTTGCACGTTTGATTTATTTCTATAATGGCGAAACATCCCCGCGAGTTCGCTCCTCCCGCTTGTATCCGACCAAATCCCTTTCCCGCCTTCCCCAAACACTTTAAAGCAGTGATCCACAACTCGTGGTCCGTTTCGAGATCCTTCTGGCTCCGTTTAAAATCTTTGTATCCTGCAGACTCCCTTTTTTTGGTTTATAAATAATAAAATAATACTAATATACTAAAATAATACTACTTCTTTCAACGATAAACTATTTATTTTTTCAGATAAACATGTAACTCTTCTTCATTTTGCATTTGACCTGTATCAGACGAGTACACACTTCATTATTCCATTTCATTGCGGGTTATCAGAGATTTCCGAAATTAAATTCCACAGTTAACAAGTTAACACATTCGCGATCGCACGTTACATATGTGTGACACAGCGATGCGTTTAGAAAGCGTATGTGTAATTCCATTGATTACCTTTATTATGGTGATATTAATATATATTTGGCGTATGATACACTATTGTAGCTTCGGTTACATCAAAATATCACACATATATGACACGTATGTAAAATGCTTTGTTTGCTGTATTCACTAGGTTTTAAATGTTTAATACGAATAACATATCACGCAAGGCAATTGCAAGAAACGCGCAGTCGACAGTAAGGGTTTGTGCACACGAGCGACACGCACCGTTGCGAGATCACGATAATGATCGTGAAACGGCAACGCATTACGACAAGGATGGCAAATACATGTATTTCCTTTTTTAAGATAAAATAGAATTTATAAGATGAAATTCGCTGTGTATACGTGGTACATGTACGTACAATCGCCAGCGTTACTTCGAGATCGCGTCTCTCGTGTGCATACGTCCTAAGGGTATTTCAAACGCGATCGCGGTCGTGAACGCGTTAACACTAACCGTATCGCGAACCGGTCAAATGACCGGTTTTAACCCCTTGCCTTATAACAACGTGTCAGACTCACGTTGAACATTTCCAACATGATTTAACAAACATAAATATTACTCGATTCATTCGACGAAATGGATATTATTCTTCTGCAATCAATCATTAAGGAGCGAACACAAGCATAGAATATGCGTACGCTTCATCTCTTTTTCCAATAAATCATTAACGATAAAAGATTCACATCGATCAAAGATGAGAAATAAATCATAGAGAATCATATTT